TCTTTTTTCAGCTTCTGATGGTGTTAAGTTAGATTGTAGATTTGATATCTTTCTTTTTAACTATAGGTTATCACAGCTATAAACTTCTCTATCAGCACTGCTTTCATTATAAAATCCCTTAAGTTTTTGTATGTTGTATTTTCATTTTCATTTACCCCAAACTACTTTCTAATTTCCTTCATGTCTCATTTGACCATTGGCTGTTTAAAACTATGCTGCTTAATTTCCATATATTTGTGAATTTTCCACTTTTTTTGTACTGATTATTAGTGTTATTCCATCATAATTAGAGAAGAAACTTTGTATGCTTTCAATCTTTTAAACTTTTTGAAACTTATTGTGTGATTTAACAATGGTCTATCCTACAGGATATATCATGTACACTTGAGAAATTTTACATTTTGTTATTAGATGGAATATTTTATATATAATATATAATAAATATACATTTAGATCTAGTTGGTTTGATCAGTGCTGTCCAGTGTTCTATTTCCTTACTGATAGTCATCCATTTTGGGGATGGTCTTCTACCCATTATTTAAAATTAAGTATTCACAGATAGCAAAGAAAAGCTGAAACAAGACAAGAATATTGACTCTTGCCACTTCTATTCAACATAGTATTAGAAGTCCTAGCCAGAGCAATTAGGCAGGAAAAAGAAATAAAAGATATCCATATTGGAAAGGAAAACATAAAACAGTCTCTATTAGTAGATTATAAAAATCTACTAATCTACTAGTACTATTAGTAGATTATAAAAATGTACTAATAGAAAACCCTAAAGATGCCTCAAAAAAATGTTAGAACTAATCAATGAATTCAGTAAACTTGCAGGATACAAAATCAATATACAAAAACCAGTTGTCTTTCTATATGCTAACAACACACTATCAGAAAAATTTAAACAGCAATCCCATTTACAATTGCATCAAACAGGATAAAATACCTAAGAATAAACTTAACCAAGGAGGTGAAAGACCCATACACTAAAAACTAGAAGATACTAATAAAAGAAATTGAAGAGAACACAAATAAATGAAAAGATATTCCATGTTAATATTAAAATTTCTATGCTATCCAAAGCAATCTACAGATGCAATGTAATGACTATCAAAGTTCCAATGGCATTTTTTTCAGAGAAATAAAACAATGTTAAAATTTGTTTAGAACCACAAAAGATCCCAACTAGCCAAAGTAATATTGAGAAAGAAGAACAAGTCTAGAAGCATTACATGCACTAGTTTTAAACTATGTTACAAAGCTATAGTAATCAAAATAGTATGCTATTGACATAAAAACAGATACATAGATCAATGGAATAAAATAGAGAGTCCAGATATAAGCCCACATGTGTATGATCAATTACTTTATGACAAAGGAGCCAAGAATATATGGGGAAAAACAATATCTTCAGTAAGTGAAAAACTAGATTGCCACATGCAAAAGAATAAAGCTGGACCCCTACATTATATCATAACACAAAAATAAACTCAAAATGGATTAAAAACTTGAACATAAGTCCTTGAACATGAGAACATAAAACTCTAAGACTAAAACATAGGCAATAAGCTCCTTCATATTGGTCTAGGTGATGATAGTTTAGATTGGACACCAAAAGCAAAACAAGCATGTGGGACTATATCAAACTAAAAAGCTTCCATACAGCAAATGAAATGGTGCATTTAGCTAGATAGTAAATTGTTCATATTTAAATTTCATATTTCTAGATAGTTACCACAGAAGTATCTCGTGTTAGCTGAGTCTATCATGTTCGTTTGGGGTCTTTAAGTTCCCTCCTAAATACAATCTAGGCAAAGCATTGTACATGTCTACTGATTAGATGTGCATTATTATGGGAAGTGGGTCCACAACTTACATCAAGTTCTTAAATAGGCCTATAACCCAAACGAAGGTGAGGGATAATTGCTTTTAACCTTTGATATGTTGTCTGAAATGTTATAGTTAAGATGCTATATATTCTCATAAATCTGGGAATTTTATTTTACTTACCTTCCCATGTATGTGCATGTATATATGCATGTGTATACGTATGTATATATAATTATATATAATTTTCTATATATTTCAAGCTAACAAATTCCTATTTGTCTTTCTATCCTTTATATATAATTTCAACAGACTTTTAAACCTGTATTTACTCAATGACCAACAGAATAAAGATCCTAGATATCTCTTTGTAGAAGTATAAACATTGCAAGGAGAAGGAAGAAGAGGAAAAAAGGTGGGGGAGAAGAGAAGAACTAATCTAAGAAATTAGTAATACAGAAAGAGAGTGTTTCAATGAGCAGAGTATGAAGATGGTTGAGATTTGAAGGAAGGAAGAAGATGTTAGCTCTCAGAACTAGGGATCAGCTCTTTTGAGTTTATCTATTTTATAAAATTACTCTTTGAAAAAATAGCTAATGTCTTTGATTTTTATTCTAGATATACAGGGAAAAATGGACTGCTTGAAAAATATGCATATTTGATATATTTACATAGTTGATATGTATATCAAACATCATTTCAATTATGGTACTAAATAATTCCACACACAAATACAATAGATTAGGGGGGAATATTCTTTATAGAAGATTCTGTTATCAGTTGTGAGAAGAGACAATGGGAAAATTGAAAGGGAATCAATTAATTTTGACATTTAGCTAGGCTAGATTTTACTGAAATATACTATCTAAACAAGCATAAATAAGATTACCCATTTCCTGGGAAATTATCATTAGAGTATCATCTACATACAGGTAGAAGTTAGAAAAGCAATAAAAAAATATTTGTTGGGAACCACCCTGCCTGGTATCAGAAGCTGTAACCCCTGCCAAGGCTAAGGCTGAGGGAATGACCTTAGACCATAAGCCACCAAGGAGACAAAAGCTTATCTCCCTGGCAGGAACACCACTTCTGCTCCTTTTACTTCATCCATAACTGGCCCCCAATGCTTGGTCGGTTAGCCAATGATGGGTAAGATTCCCCAAGGGGGGAACGATCTAAGACAGGCACAATCATGTGGGAGCCCCCCAAGGAAGGACTTTGGGGGCTAGAGCAAAAGAGGGTGATGGACCCTCGCCCCTCGGCTTTGACATACCCTGAGTCCTCATTGTCTGCGAGAAAATCTCCTAATCTCTTGGCTACCTTACTTCCCTTGCTCCACCTAAGCCTGAAACAATGACAGAGGGTGGTTCAGTCCTGTGCTGGAAAGAGCGGGTTCCCTGGGTGATCAGGTCTAAGAAAGAACATGTAAAATCCTGTGAAACCTGCTTTGTTTAGAATGCTCTCAATGAAATGATAAGGGTCCAGGGAAGAAGTAAGTTTGTTCCTTAAAGTTTTACAGCTCTTTGACCCTGACTCAAAATAGGCCCTCAGAGTTCCTTGTCATTTGATCCTTACTTCCCAGCAATGAGTAATGAGCTTTACCTGATTTCCTGTGTAAATGAACCCAATAAAAGTCATTGAGGAAAAGGCTCTTGGTCCTTCTCCTGTGAGAGATCAGCCACCTTTCCCCCCCAAGCAGACCATGTCTTGGAAGACTTATTCTCATCCATGGCGGCTGGAGGGGGGGCTCTGTGGGTGGAGCCCCCTCCCACAAATATTATAATTTATAAGGCTAATCTTCTGTTTTGGAAAACTATATGCAGCTTAATGTTTATAGCTGACATACTGCTTTTGACTTTCTTAAATGAGATAAAATTCAGTATTATATTACTAATTCACCTCATTTGGTTCCTCCAATAGCATCATTATTAATTGACAATATGACATTAAGATACAGATATAATTTCTTTCTTCTAAGGACTTTCTTTCCAGAGCTTCCTTGTAAAATGTTCTTTAAATTATCAGATAATTTGTACATTAACAGCCAACTTCTATAAGCCTTGTCAGGAGTAAGAAAGATAAATTTCCCATGCTTTTATCTATTTATTACATATGGAGGTATTACCCACCCAAAAGTCCATTTGACTATATGAGTTTCCATTCAAAAGTACATATTTTTCATATGCATCTCTGCTAGCAAGTAACAGCTGCCAATCAAGAAGAGCTATTAAACTGAGAAGCCTTACTGATACAATGAAAATAACAAACATGGAATTCAAAATCAGCTAGACAAACTAAGTTTGACTACTAGCTCTGTCATTTACCAGTTGAGTGACCTTAACAGAGAGATTTAACATCTGATAATTTATCTGAAAAACTGGGAAGTATTATACCCAAGTCACAGGATTGTTGTGAGAATTATACATAACAATGCCTCATTCTCAAAATGCTAAAAAGAAAAAGGAGCAGCAATCATTTCCCTATGATTCTAGATACTTCCCTACGATAATGAATTCCTTGGCTGGTAATTTCTAAGGGAAATTCCAGAGTTAAAAAGGGCACTGAAAGGGAGTATAACTTTGGACAAACCATCTAACCTCTCAGCCCACGTGCCCTCCTCTATACCCTTGCTATTCAAAGTGTGGTCCACAGACCGGCAGAATTGGTGTCACTAGGGAGCTTGTTAGAAACGCAGAAAATCAGGCCTACAATACCCTGGCATCGAATACTACTATACACCAGACCTACTGACTCAGAGTCTGCATTTTAAAAAGATCACATGTGAATCATACACATAAAAGTTGGAGAAACGCAGCTCTATACACTAAGGGGGATTGACTAAATGATGTTAAGGTCCCTTATAACTAATTTCTCATGAAGAATCAGATCTGACAACACCGGTGCCCATTTTTCATGCAGCAACGGTCGGCTGGAACCGAACAGCAGTTGCCCTGTTAGATGGGGTGCACACTCCCTTTGCCTCCCCCCAGTCCTCATCTAGCTCCTCTCATGTATGTATGCTAACTGCTTGGCCCCTATTCAGCCTGTAACCTAAATTAGATTCCATACAGAGTTGAAGAAGTCTCCTTTTCAGTAAAAAAGAGATGCCTTCAGAGGTAAAAATTCATTAGATGTATGTATTTTTAGGTGAAAGGAAATAAAAGATCATTTACCTTGATGGGAAGTAGTGTGGTCCAGGTAGGAAGTAAGGATGATGAAAAGAAAATCGTGGCGGTGTCCCAAATAGTGTGGCTGGATGACCAAGGGGAGGGGGCTGGTAGACGTGTGAGTGTGGAAGAGGAGGAGCCTGGGGGATTGGCGCACTTCTGGGGCAGGCAGAAACGCTGGGGTACTCCTTAGGGGGCTGGACGGTGGAGGCTGCAAATCTGGCGTGGGCAGTACTTGCACTACTTGAAAGCCTGCTGGTGCTCTCAGGAGACACAGGCGTGGGTCTCTTTACAGAGTGATTGGCTTCCGACGGCAGCTGATGAGCGTCCGTTTGGGAGGGCCCAGCAAAGCACTGGGGTGGGAGTGCTGGGCGCAGGGGCAGACTCGGAGCCTGGACGGCCACCTGAGCGGTGCTGGAAACGGTGGGCTGAAAAATCGTGATGGGACTTAGGCGCTGGACTGCAGGTGTGGGCAGCTGGATGGCAGGCGGGGCTTCACCTTCAAAAATAAAAATAGCAGAGGTCAGGCATTAATTGAGCCATTCCATGGTTTGTTTGTTTGTTTGTTTTCAGTTAAATTTAATAAACCGTACAACTAGAAGCCTTCAGTAACTACCTTAACCTAATAGCATCACCCTGTCAATCCATTCTGTTTCCTTACAGCATTTTGAACAAACTAAAGTCATCTGTTTACCTGTATTTTTTGGTTTCTCGTTCTCGCCTAGATTCTGAGTGCGATGAGAGGAGAGACCTTTTTTGTTCTGGGCACAGCTGTTATCTCCAGGGCTCTAAATTCTGCTTGACACTGAATAGGCGTGCAGCAATTTTTTAAATAAATGAATAACATTATTGAATGATGGAATATAAGACAAATATACACAATGCTGGTCTGTGGGTACAAGTGTTTCTAGAAGAGATGCTGTGAAACTACTGACGGGGATTACTTTTAAGGGGGGGTCATCGGGGAGGGGAGGCAGGGCAGGGGAGCCATAGGGAAAGCTAGACTTGCATTTTATACCTATGAGTACTGTTTGAATTTTTATCATCTAGACATATTAATTTTATTTTTAATATTAACAGAGGTTTTAGTGTAGTGGCATGGGTCGTTTTTCTTTTGTTTTTGTTCTCTCTGTATATTAAACTAAATGATGAATGACATTTAATTTTTCTAACTGAAAAAACTAAAGAAACAATTAGTAAAAGTATTTCACTTCATTGTATGTGATGTGAATATAGAAGGAAACTCCCAAGTGAGGACAGGACTTGCCACAGGTCAGTTTGTGACAGGTGTGAAAGGGACACTATCACAGCAGGGCACGACAGGTATGGCAGGATTTGTGAAGACAGGTAAGACAGCCCGGATTTGATCTCTCTGTTCCTGAGGAAGCGAGGACTGCTGGTTGAGTTACTAAATTACCCAAATGACGCACTTAACCTAAATTCAGCTAATCTGTCCCAAAGAAGTGGAGAGAGAAGCCACAGCAACAGAGTCATGACCTAGGTTATTCCGGTGCAGTTAGGTCTCTGTTAACATAAAAGATGCTGTCCAAGAACAGACTCAATGGTTGGAAATGTCTCTGCCAGAGGCTCAGAGGAATGTGCATCTGCTCTCAGCCTTGTCCAGATAACAACTTCCCACGCTTCCTTCTCTCCAGATAAGGCAGATAGTACCCATCTTGAACATGGAGGTAGGGAGTTAAGGGATATATCCATCCATTTCAAGATAGCCGCTGACCCGGTGAAGTAGAGGCCACATGGGACCAGGGCGTAAATGAGCTGTCCTGATTCTCAGTTGATAGGGTTACGGGGGCACAAGCCTTAGTGAGGCCCTTCCTGATTAATCAGGAATAAAGCAATTTCCCTCCTCCTTGTTCCCCCAGAACCTGTAGATCTATCCCTTATTAGAAAATATTATAAATCTTTATTATTATTTACGTATCTCCCTCCCCGACCATAATCATGAACCTGCAGACCTGAGAGCAGAAACTGTTTTATTCGTGTTTATGTCCCCACTGCCTGGCACAGAACCTGGTTCACGACAGCGGGAAAGGGACGGCTTGACGAAAGAAAGAACAAACTAACAGGCGAGCCTGTAGCTAACAGCACGTCCACCACTGACCTGGTGCAAGGAGATCTAAACCTCCTCTAAACGACTGTGAAACCACGAGACCTCTCCAAGTTGTATTAATTGAACTGTCACTGCACTCAAGTCAGCAGCTCCTGAAAGCTGCCTTTGATTCAGATCTCTTTTCCCCATGCCTGTTACAAGAAGCTCTTAGTCCTCAGTAGCGTAGAACGAACGGTATTTGCAGGCGAAGGAAACGTAAATGATGGGAGTGGCAGACCATTACTTTAATCTGTTACTGAAGGAGCGTCTCATCTTTGGATTAGAGAAGAACAAATGTTCTTTTCTACCAAAGACATTTCCATAGCAGAAGGGGTGCCAATGAAACATCGGGGTGTTCAGTCATACACACTTTGCTACTCTGGCAAACCTAGTTCTCTGACATTGACTGAACATTTTCCTCCTCCAGTTTAATGTTTTCCCTTTCTCCATTTTCCCCTAATATTGTTTTTCTAAATTCTTAAGCTAACAGAAATAAAATTTCAACTTGAGGTAAAGTTTTCACAGAGCTATTTAAAAATTCATAATCTACAGTAAAACCAACTCACCAACTGGATGAATGATGGTGTTCTGCAGGCTTGGAATTACCACCGAGTAGGTAGGTGAGCGATAAGGATAAATGGTTGCAGGGCTTGCAGAGGTGATATTCTGTGTGGTACCAGAAAACACATTGGAAACACTCAGAGGGAAGCGTTTTCGCTTCCCTGGCCGAGGCTGATAAACCCAACCTATAGAAGAAGATAAACTATTTTTAATTTGAACATATAGACCCCATTTAGCCTTTAAATAGTTCTTTCCATACAGGGTGAAGCAAAATTAGGTTTACAGTTGTTGGCATGAAAAATAATACAATAATTAGCCCTGGCTGGCGTAGCTCAGTGGATTGAGCGCGGGCTGGGAACCAAAGTGTCCCAGGTTTGATTCCCAGCTAGGGTACATTCCTGGGTTGCAGGCCATAACCCCCAGCAACCGCACATTGATGTCTCTCTCTCTCTCTCTCTCTCTCTCTCTCTCTCTCTCTCTGTCTCTCCCCCTCCCTTCCCTCCCTAAAAATAAATAAATAAAATCTTAAAAAAAAATAATACAATAATTAATGAATAATGCAAGAATAAACTCTGCTCCACATACAACTGTAAAACTACTTTTGCCCCATCCTGTATTAAAAGTCCATAACATTTGTTTTTTAAAAAATAAGTGATTGTCTAAACTATCTTTCCAGCTCTATAATACTACTGTGTATTTTAGCATATATATATCCATCTTCTTCTAACTGTGGCCAACATTATAACCCATGATTCCAAGGAAGACAAAGTCAAATATCTTATACCCAAAGACACATAGAATCTGTAGTAAAATCAGCATTAAAGCCATCAAGTTTGAATCCCAAAGCTTTTCCTCTACCTATAAAACAAGGCTCCAGCAAGACAGTATTCATGTCCCCGTTTTCTTCCTTTCTGTGAGATACGAGTGTCTCTATCTTATACTGAAATAGTCACTAATGAGCAATCACTATTTCTATGCCTGACTTAGAAGAGTTACTCACCAAGACTTGCAGTCTCCAAGTCCATAAACCACCTAATTTCCCTCCAAAGCCAGAGGAGTGGAGCTATGGCAGTAACAGTCACAGCATAACCAGAAGGATAGCTGGTTCCCTATAATTGCTGCCTCTGCCCCCTCGTCCACATCCCTCCAAACTCTTTGCTCATACTTTAGAGAAAAACAATTGTTTTTCTACCATGCACAGTCATGTTGGCTGCTGTCCACTATGCATTAACCCAAGCTTAATCTTAATGTCCTTGCTGCTGGGGAGGAAATCAGAATTCATTTCAAACTACATCATAGTAAAGGTAAATCTATTAACCAGAAAGCAGGACTATGTTCTGATAACCATATAATATTAAAATACAGCATGGCCTTATGTTAATACCTGCATTCTCTTTGTCTTTAAGTGTACACTGCATTTTTTCTATTGCTATAATTTTAAAACTTCATTTTCTAGTATGGGGAGAACCCCCCCAAAATGGTATTTATAAAAAAGTGTATATTTATTCTTACGTGTTTAAACTTCAGTCACCTTCAATATACTCCCCATTTGATGCGATACACCTACTGAGTTTTTTCCACTGCCCAAAACAGTTTTGGAACTTTTTGATTTTGTTGCCTTTTAGTGCTTCTGCTCTTTTTTGTTTCACCTCTTCCATATCAACAAAATGTTTCCCTTTGAGGACTTTTTCATCCAGGGAAGCAAAAAAAAGTTGCTTGAGGGTGAGATCACATGAATAGAAAGGGTGGGGCATGAAGGAGTCATGCCATTTTCAGTCAAAAACTGCTGAACACTCAGTACGGTGTGGACAGGTGCATTTGTAAATAGCCCATCATGAAATAGTCAAACATGTTGAGTCTTCAAAAAAAATTCACTGAAGCTATATGCAGCCTTTCACAACAATGCCAGCTGGCACACTGCTACAGATGGGTTCCTAGAACACTCACCTAGTTGGGGAAGCCTCCATCACAACAGGTCCACCCTTCAGAAAACAATTCCAGTCTTTTTGGGTCCCCCCTCATATTATAGCCTAGAACTCTGGAGTTTTTACCTTCATAATTTTATATCTATATATTTCATCAAAACCACAGTAAAACTGTATGTCACCTGGTTTATATTAGTTAGCAAGTAAGAGACCAGATATAACCTCTACTTGGTTCTGTTCAAGGAAATTGATGCCCAGTAACAATTCCATCATTAGTATATTATTAGCAGTTGTTTTTTATTGTACATATCAGACTAGGAAAAACATCACATATTGTTTCTTTCAATCTTAGCCTAACCTAATCTTTACCTAAATAAATTAATTTAAAAGAAATTAGCCTTGTTTGCTTCATTTAATTACCAGGAAATTCCTCTCTGTGCTTTTCTTTAATCTTCTGTGCTTCATCGTAATAAGGTTTCTTTTGTTCTTCACTAAGTTTGTTCCACTCCAACCCGAGCTGGACACTGATTTCTGCGTTGTTGGCTGCTGGGTTAGCTTTGGCTAGTGCTGGCCGGTGGATCCTCGCCCAAACCATAAATGCATTCATGGGTCGCTTCACATGACCATTTCTGTCCTTACTGAAGGGAGTATCTGGTATTCCTATGTGGCAAAAATTAAGATACTAAATTAACATGTCACAGACATACACACAATTTCAAAGTGAAATGCACTATTTACATTGATTTTTTTTTAGTAGCTGGAGAAAATATACACTTAAATAGCCAAAGAACTGCCAGTGTTCCAGAACTCCTCATCACCCCTAAACTCAGCATTCTAAACTGTAGCTAGGATGGCTCTGTTCCTCAACATAATGTGTCGTTGAAGAAATTGTGTGACAATGTTGCAGACAGTAAACTGGTGGCATATTACTTCTTTGAACTGTATCAATACCTCCAAAAATCATTAACATTTACTTTATTTCCCACTACAAATATTCTATTAATGGGGGACACGAACTATGATTTATCGATGACTATAATCCTAGCACTAGGTAGGCATGTTCAAAATGTTGAAAGGAACTCATTTACATGCTGCTGCAGTGCCTATTCAAGCAAAAATATTTATAATGTTATAATATTACATTAGTTTTATTTAATCATGAAAGTGAAGCTCCTGTCAAAATGGGTCATCAACACTATTCCCATGTCCTGGGAGAAAATTAATAAAAGTGACTTTTTAAGAGTCACGGATCCAGTTGAAATCAAAATAAAGTTGATGAAATTCCCGTCTCTTATATAATTTATCAAAAACAATGGTCTATAAACTTCTTATATTGTTTCTTTTTAGGGTTACTTAATATATAATTTTTTAAAGTGCACAAAGAATGAAATAAATATTGTGAAGAAAGTCTTCCCTTTCTTTCATTTAGAAAATAAAAACATTTAAAAACTACTGAAGATAAAAGCAAGAAGGTAGGGTAAGAAGACAGAATCAATAAAGAAAATAACAAAAACAATAAATATAAAAGTTAATGAAAATATGAAGATTAATATGATTTCCTATGACATTCATTGGCATAGTGTTTTGTCTGAATTAAACCTTAAAATAAGAATTTTCTAACTCGATATTTGGAAATAATGGATAGAAATAAAATATTTATTTATAGTTGTTACCACAATTAACTATGGTCATTTCTTTGAAAGCAATTTCTCTAACTTACTCTATAGTATTTTCATTTTCCAAATTTCTCTAAGTCCTTAACTTTTATAAAACTAAAATGTTACTGTTTTTCTCCTAGAAGAATGTTCACTATACATTTCTAAAGAAGAAAAATCAACTCTACAAATCAGTAAAACTTTCCTGTTTAATAACCATTTTTTTATTAAGCACCATTTTTTCTTCTGCTTCTTGTTACACATAAAACTATTGAGCTACTGTAATACAATATTTTACAGTAATTTTAATTTTAATTTTGTTATCTGCAGCATATAAACTGAGGGCTTTGTATTATCCAGCAAATATATTCCTATTTTTGTGTGTAAACTTTAGTCACATCTAAATCTCAGCTTCACTGGGTCTTAAAACAGATTTTTTTTAAAAAATGGTAATCTTGAACATGTTAGTGTATTTTACTGGGATATGTACAAGTCAATCAGAAGTGATACCTGTGCAGGCTTTGCCCTGAAAAGAATCGGTTCCATGATTTTATTTTTCTAGTTTAGGCTTCTGAACTGCTGACATGTCAGCTATGGGGCAACATAGACGAAATCTGAAAACCAGATTCCCCTGGCGTCTAATACCTGCATCTGAGGGAAGCACGGTGAGCGGGACATCTTTGGTTTCAATTTTTACAGAAGGCTCCAGTAAGGATTGCATTTTAAGAGGCACTGGTGTCAAGGGGACCTTGGTCAATCGTATCAGCTCTGAAGGTGGAGGTCCCTGGAATTGGATCTGGGCCCCAGGTGAGACAGTGTGGACAGTCAAAGGGATCCTAAGGTCTTGCTGGTGCGGCCCAAAGGCGCTGGACGGTTGAGCCAGGAAGACCTCCTTGCTGCCATGGAGCAGCCCATTAGACGCGGGCTCCCTGTCAAGCCTGCAGTCCTCGTGGAGTTTCTCAGGCTCCTCTGTTTTGATGATTCCTTCTCTGATGGCCGTCAGACTTTTGCCTTCCCAGACTTTCTCCGCGTCCTTCATTACCTCCTCGGCCTCCAACTTGCCCTTCTTCCGGTCCCCTCGGCGACCCTCCAGGGCCGACCCAGGGCCTTCCGCCTTGGCCGCCCTGGAGGTCCTCGGGCCCACCTCGACTGCCCTCCGAGGCCCCACGGAGGGATCCAAGTCCGGCCCGAGATCCTGCTTCTCCACCTTGACCTGCAGCGCCCTGGGCTGCAACGTGTGCAACTCGGGCCTGCAGGGGGCGCCCTCAGATGAGGGTGGTGGCGGAGGCAGTAGCAGTAGTTCTGGCCTGAGCTGCAGCAGCCGCGCCTGCGCGGGCGATACGTTGGCGTCTTCGTCCTGGGCCTGGGGCAGTGGTGGCCCTGGCGGCAGCAGCAGCACCTGCTCCGACTTCACCTTTAACAGCCGCCTTGCTGAGGGCTGTCCGCTCGACGCCGGTGCCTCCCCGCACGGCGAGGACAGGGTCGCAATGGCGGCCGCGCACGGGGCTGAAGGCGACAATGGGGGCTCCGCGGCCGCTGCCCGAAAGGGGGTGCCCTCGACCGGTGGCTGGGGCGGAGCGGGGCGCAGTGGACGCGGCGGGGTGGCCCGTGGCAGTTGGCGTGGCTGAGGCGGCGGCTCCCGCCTGGCTCTCTCCATAGGGGCAGAGGGTCGCCCCGGCCTAGTGCAGGACCGGATTGTGAGCTCAGCCGTTTGTTGGCGACCTCCCCCCTCCCTCTTTCGGTTAAGACCCTTCCAAGGCCTTTGCTACCCAGAACCCTGTGCGGTTCAAAAAGAAGCCCTCTGTCGAGGCCTCGCCCAATCACAAGCGTCCCAGTACCCCTGTACCGCCAATTACAGGCGCGTTCTCCGGCTCCTCCCGCCCTCCACTCTCGCCTTGTGCGGAGCTTCGAATCACCCGCAATGGCCCGGGCCGTGGCCTTGGCACGTGCTGCCCATTTTTCCCATTTTTCTCTGACTCTCCCTCTCTTCCGGAGTTCTCTTAGGGCTGGCCGTTGTCCTTAGTTACCCCTCCCCCGCCCAGAGCGCCAGACAATGGTGTTGCCCAGGAAACTGTGTGGTTCTGCGTCGCTGACCTCCAGGTGATAAAGTCGCGTGAGTCCCTTACATGGTCTGGGGAACCCAGCCTTGTACCTGGGGTTCGTTTGCGCTGTAAGGGTACTCAATGGACCCTGACCATCACAGGGGCCTTTGGGTCTTTGCCAAAGGGAAAGGGAGGAAATTTTGCAACTTCTCAATAACCGCATTAGTTAATTCCCTTGCTGGGAAGGGCGTTTGTGTGATTGTGCTAGTTAAACTTGAATCGCCAGTCGTGTGGACCCTACTTGCATATTACATCTCAAATTCATCCACTTCTTTCCGTTTTCTCACCATTGCTCTGTTCCAAACATCCATCATCTTTCACCTGGATATGGCTGTAGCCCTGTAAATAGTGTCCCTGCTTTTTACTTTTGCCCCTTGTATTCCACTTGCCAGGGATCTTACGAAAATACGAATCTAGTTCTGCCACACTCCACTCTCCTAAATCTTTACATGACTCCCCATTGGCCACCTGATAAAGGTCTAATGTACTTGACAAAGCCTATAAAGTCCCAAATAGCTTGGGCTCCAGTACTACTCCTAGTCACCATTCTAGTCCTGGCCCTGTGGGGTCCAGCCACGCTGACTTCTCGTCATACTTTCTCCTACCTCGAAATCTTTGGATATGCCCCCAAGGCTAGTCCTCCCTTAACTCCTTCAGCTCATCTTTCAAATTGAGTTCAATTGGCACTGACTCAGAGAAGTATTCTGTGACTCTGAAAATCAGGTCAAATCTCCTTTATGTAGCCATACCTCTATCACATCTTTTAAAACCCTTACCACAATGTATAATTATTATTATTATTTATTATTATTATTATTATTATTATTATTAAATATCACCAAGGGAAACAAAAAAGTCTTGTATTTAACATTTGCTATATTCTAAATGATGTACTAATTAAAAGCTATAAATTTACCTTGAAACAGATATTTTTAACCAAGACAAGGTCTTCTTTCTCTGAAAGAAGACCTGTCCCAATCCTCTTATTTATTTATTTTGAAGAAGTTTTTGAAAAAGGTACTGAGATACTATTAATATACCATAAAGTTCATCCACTTAAAGTGTATGATTCAATGGCTTTTGTATGTTGTAACTATCTGTGAGTTTTGCATGCTTCACCATAATCAATTTTAGAATATTTTCATTACCCCCCTCCAAATAAATCCTGCACTTCTTAGCCTCACCTGATAATCCTTCATTCCCCCTAGCCATAGACAACCACTTTCTGTCTTGATGGATTTGTCTATCCTGGACATTTCATGTAAATGCAATTATATGTTGTTATGTGGTCCTTTGTGACTGACTTCTGTCACTTATCATAATGTTCTCAAGGCTCGTCTATGTTGTAACGTATGTCAGAACTTCATTTCTCTTTATTGCTGAATAATATTATATAGTGTAAATATACCACATTTTAATTATGTGTCCATCAGTTGATGGATATTTGGGTTTTATCTCCTTTTGGCTATTATGAACAATGCTGCTACAACTGTTTGCATATAACTCAGTGCATGACATATGTTTTTATCATATTTTTTATTATCATTTGTCCCCCTTATACTCTCTTCTACCTCTACCCTGCCCTCCCCCTACTTCCCCTGCACTTACCACACTGTTGTCTGTGCCCATGAGTCCTTTTTCTTTTTTTGCTCAATCCCTCCACCCTCAACTGCCCCCCACCCAGAACTGTAACCTGCTTTCCATTTATGAGTCTGTCTCTGTTTTGTTTGTTAGTTCAGTTAGGTCAGCGATCTTGAGAAAGAAAGAAAAGTTGGAGGACTCCTGATACCTAATATCAAACTCTTTTATAAGGCCATAATAATCAAAACAGCATGGTACTGGCATAAAAACAGAGACATAGATCAACGGAACAGAACAGAGAGCCCAGAAATAAACCCATATCTTTGTAGTCAATTAATATTTGACAGAAGATGCAAGCACATACAATGGGCTAAAAAGAGTTTATTCAATAAATGCTGTTGAGAAAATTGGACAGATTGGCACAGAAAAATGAAAGTAGATCACCTTCTTACATGATATACAAGAATACATTCAAAACGGATTAAAGACTTAAATGTCAGGCCTGAAGCCATAAAAATCATTGAATAGAACATAGGCAACAAAATCTCAGACATTGCTCATAGCAATATTTTATCTGATATATCATTCCAGGTAAGGGAAATAAAATAAAATAAATAAACAAATGGGACTACATCAAACTAAAATGTTTTTTTTTAAGATTTTATTTATTTATTTTTTAGAGAGGGAAGGGAGGGAAAAAGAGAGAGAGAGAGAGAGAAACATCAATGTGCGGTTGCTGGGGGCTGTGGCCTGCAACCTAGGCATGTGCCCTAAAATGTTTTTTATACAGCAAAGGAAATCATCAACAAAATAAAAAGACAATCTACAGAATGGGAGAACATATTCACTGATACATCTGATAAGGGTTTAATATTCAAGATTCATAAAGAACATATAAAACTCAACACCAAAATAAAACAACCCAATTAAAAAATGGCAAAGGACCTGAATAGACACTTCTCCAAAGAGGACATACAGATGGCCAATAGACATATGAAAAGATGTTCAATATCACTAATCATCAGAGAATTGCAAATTAAAACCACAATGAGGTATCATCTCATACCTGTCAGAATAGCCGTCATCATTAAATCAACAAACAGCAAGTGCCAGCAAGGGTGGAGAGGAAGGGGACCCTTCAGCACTGTCGGTGGGAGCACAGATTGGGTGCAGCCATTGTGGAAAGCAATATGGAGCTACATCAAAAAATTAAATGAAGCTGCCTTATGATCCAGTGATTCCACGTCTGGTGAATTATCCAAAGAAACCCAAAACACTAATTTGAAAGAATATAAGCACCCTATATTCATTGCAGCATTATTTACTATAGCCAAGATTCAGAAGCAGCCCAAGTGTCCATCAGTAGATGAGTGGATAAGACAACCGTGGTCCATTTACACCATGGAATACTACTTGAACGTAAAAAATAAGAAAATTTTACCCTTTGCAACATCATGGATGGATCTGGAGAACATTATGCTAAGTGAAATAAGCCCGTCGGAGAAAAGCAAATACCATATGATTTCACTCATATGTTGAATTGAATGAACAAACTAAACTAACAAGCAAAATAAAGACAGACTATCTTTTAGGGAGGGAGAGATCAGTCATTTGCCTCTCATAACATGCCACCACCACCCCCACTCCAACTGGGAATCAGACACACAACCTGGGCATGTGCCCTGACCAGGAATTGAACCAGCGACCTTTCGCTTTGTGGAATGATGCTCAACCAACTGAACCACAATGGTCAGGGCTGCCCCAATACTCTTCCTTCCTTCCTTCCTTCCTTCCTTCCTTCCTTCCTTCCTTCCTTCCTTCCTTCCTTCCTTTCTTTCTTTCTTTCTTTCATTTTTTAAAAAATTTTATTTATTTTTATAGAGAGAGAGGGTTTCTAATCGCTATTGTCAAAAAAAAACAAAACAGGAGTTTTTACACCTCGCAGGTACACAAGGGTAGTGGTTCTCAAACTTTTCTATTTCAGTGAAACTGGAAAAGTTGCTGCTTTTGTCACTACCAGAACCAATAAGTAGACATGAATTGAATCTTAATGGGTGCTTTACTCAGATGCTGGCGATCTGAGAATATGACAGGTTATGTACCCTAAAATTCATCTTAACATCTCACCTCAAGCTGAACTTTTGAGAAGAAGAAGAAAAGGGTAAGTAAGGGGTTTGGAAAAAAGGTTAATCAGGTAAGAGGTGCAGTCTTGAGGCAATTTTACCAGTATTTATCTGATGATCAACAGTTCGTCTGCCTCGCCACTGTTTCCTCCCTGGAACTCGTGGCTCAGACACTATTGCTTGCAGACCCCTGGAGCACAAAGGTTGAATCGCTTGTCTACCACCTGGAGTCACGTAGGTCACGTATTCCAGTTCCTGGAATAAGAGCTTTCCACAAGCTTTAGTCACTTAAGCCTATCAAAATACTACAGCAAAAATCTTGAACTGTTTACGTGGTGAATCGCATTTATCGATTTTTGAATGTTGTACCAACTTTGCATTCCTGGACTAAATCCCACTTTATCTTGGTGTATGATCTTTTTGATGTATTGCTGTATAAAATCTTTAACTCCTGATTTCCCCTCTCATCCGGAAACTCTTACATGCAAATGACTGAAGAGTACAAAGAGCTTTTATTTATGTGGTTTTATTGATCAGTGTTTGCTGTATTATAAATAAAAACTGAGGACTTTAAAAAAATATTTAATTATCAATGAATTAAGATATCAATACTAAACCCATTACATGTTAACGTATTTTCATGATAAAACTGTTTTCCAAAAAATTAGGAGAGTGACATTGTGAATCTAATGTCTAGCTTAATTAAAAAAAATAGTTGTATTCTCCTGTCTGCTTATACTTTCAATTGGTTGTGATTCACATGCCATATAGGGTCTAAACAGCTTCTTTGTACATTCACGAGAGATTATAGTGAAAAAGGCAAATATTATTTTAGAATTATTATGAAAATT